AAAAAAAAAAAAAAACTGGAGTCTGTGGCCACTGCCCCTGCATCTGGGCTCTGTGGCTGCTTAACAACAGAATAAGATGGAAGTTTCCGGGTCCAGGCCTAAAGAAACTGTCAATTTCCCCTTCCTGATTCTTGGAACCCAGCCACCATGGTGAAAGGACACCTAACAGCCAGCACCTATGAGCCAGCCAGGTGAATGAGCATCTGAGAAACAGGTCATCCAGCCACCAGTTGAACTGGCCAAGCTGACAGCAGCCTGCCCTGCTGAGCCCTGCCCACATTACAAATTTGTGAGCTAAATAATTGATTGCTGTTACTTCAAGCCTTTACATTTTGGGGTGTTTTGTTAAGCAATGACAAATGTATTAAAACAACTACATACTGGTTCTGTAACCTTGGGCAAATTATTCACTATTTCTGACCCTTCTGGAGGAAAATAAATAGGGTTTTTGCCTACAGTCACAAATTCCTGAACTGGAATTTGAATCCAGGTTTGCCAAGATCTAAAGCCCTTGCTCTTTCCCCTATGAGCAATTAAGCAAGTTCCTTCTGGCCTCAACAGTCCATGATTTCCTGGCAACAAAAGCATGTAGAGATACAGAATTAGAATAAACAAGGTCAAAGTCTTCAGATTTCTGAGTATATCTTCACCATGCCTGATGTCCTCGCAGTGGGCAGTCTGTAAATACTGGCTTCCTCTCAAATACTCGCATTGTAGCCCCAGATACTTCATGCTTCTGTCAGTTCCAGGAATTTTCAGGACATAATCCACACCCATTCCTCCCCTTTGCCTTGGAACAGCGTTCACCCTTATAGAAGCCCTTCCCAGCGGGGATACGCACTGCACACAGACGCTGTAGAAGCCTGGCGTGACTCATTGTGTTATACACAAGATTCACTGTAAAGGTCTCTGAAATAGTTCATTGTTTTCCATAGTCATGGAGAGCACAAGATTTAGAGTCAAGCATATCTGAGATCAACCCCCCGGCTCTGAAATGTATTAGCTTGGTTGTCCCATCTATGCATTGTTACTCTGATTTCTGAATCTTACTGTCCTTCCAGCTGTGACTCAAGTTTGCTAGTCCTTTCTTTGCTAGGAAGACTTTTCTCTCCCTCATTCCTCTAAGCTTGTATGCAGGTCAGGCTAACAAATGCACAGGCACCTGCTCTGTACCACGAACCAGGGTGGATGCAGAGGTGCATCCTGGAACAGAGGGGGCACAGGGGGGCACATCCTGATGCCCTCAGCAACCCCCTGCCCCAGGGCCTGGAACAGAGCAGGTGCCCCCAGCATCCACCCAGGGCCTGATACCAAGCAGAACTGATATATACTTTCAGTTCACAGATCCATGGCTTAGCGGGAGGATGCCAGAACCTGTGGGGTTCCTATCAGGTCCAGATTAGTTACATTGAAAGGACCTGATTTTGTTACTCAAAAACTGCAGGACAGGTAAAGAAGTGGGATATGAGAGAGGGAAAGCGGAAGAGCCAGGGACTGCATTTCCACCCCCTTGCATCCAGTCAATGATACATTTCACTTGTGGGCTGAGATTTTTTAAGAAGCAGGTGCACCTTCCCTACCACCACCCTCCCCATCATGGAGCCAAATCATGGAGAGAGCCTGGGTCCCTAAGGAAAATGACTCATGTCTTCGTGGAGCCGGGATCATCCAACCTTTTCTGCAGAAGGCCAGATTGTAAATAGTTGAAGCTTTGTGAGCCACAGTCAGTCTCTGCCACATATTCTTATTTGTGAGCTTTTTTGTTTCTTTGCAGCTCTTTAAAAGTGCAAAAACCATTCTTAGCTCCTGGGCCATACAAAAACAGGCTGCAAGCTGGATTTGGACCAAGGGCTAATAATTTGCCAATTGCTATCTAGACTCACATTGTACTGTTACATGAACAAAAATGAACACCATCTTATTGTGGTAAGCTACGGTTACCCTACTTGATGGATGCACATTCCACCCCTGCCACCCCTAAACCACCAAACTGTCCCCAAATTATCTGTTGTCTCTTGTTCTGCAGAAAGATGGGGGGACAGCTGATGCCCAGGAAGGTACAGGCTGGACACATGCAGGCAATTGCACCTGCCCAAAAGCCCAATGTGTCGTTATTGCTTTCCCTACCCAGATATCTGATTAGCAAATTACAAGAGGGACCTTCCTTGAGTTTCAAATGGAAAGCCCAGAATCCAAACTAAACAAGCCTGGGATGAGCTTGAATCTCCACCAGCTCCTCCTCCACTGCCTGATACCCAGTAGGCATTCTTTGATAGACTCAGAAAGTGAACTCAAGCTGTCAGCTGGATTGTATTGATATACTGAGAAAGCCATTAAAGAGGTTAAATGAATAAATTAATTGAACAGATGTCCCATTACTTTATTTATTAATATGTATTAATTCACTTTTATTCATTAATGAGAGAGAGAGAATCCCACCCTTATCTAACCTTAGCAAATTTTGAAATCTATGGCCTTTTGAGCCTATTATTATACTTTGTTAAATTACTGATGTGGTTTGCCCATGGGTGCATACCCTCCTCTTCCTCATCCAAGCATCCATCAGGGGGCCCCTGGGTGTCAGGCCCTGTACTAGGCATCAGGCTTCCAACAGTCAATGAGCTACGAGCCCTGCCCCTCAAGAACTGTCGTCTTTCAGGGGAGATGGAGAAGTACTCAAGGTTCAGGACAGAGGTGTGATGAGTTCGTTATTACATGTCTGCTGGAACGTAGCAAGAGCCAGTGAATCTAGCCTAGAAGGAAGACGGGACGGGTGAGATCAAGAACAATTTTCCAATTAGATCACAGGGAGGGTCGGAGTGGCCAGAGAGAAGGCAAACCTCAACTGACAAAACCAAGAGCAGCAGGAGGAGAAGGAGGCAGGCACCCAGCAGCCAGAGTAGAGAGCTGTGAAAGTAGCTAATGTGCCCAGATGAATCATGAGAAGAGGTTGTGAGGTCCATGGGGAGGCAGGAGAGTGCAGTGGTTAAGGCCACGTTCAGCCACTGCTCTACCTCGTGTCTGTCAATCCCAGCCCCACCACCTCCTGACCACAATGACATGAAAGCAACCCAGGTGGAGGACAGCTCAAGGGAATAAATTTTCAATGGAATTCTTTACAATATCAGAGACAAGTCTAATGAGACTTGAACGAGAGTTTCAGGATAAGCTGTGCCCCACTTCAGAGCATTCGAATCCTGCTCTTCCCCAACCCCCACCTCCTAGGGTCCCCTGTTGGTAGGAAGATGAGCCTCTCTCCAAGAAAGGAGAAGAAGGGACATCCATTGAGCCCCTCCCATGGGCCAGGTTCCTCTGGGCTGACATTATCTTATTTAATCCTCACGATACTGTACTATGATCCTATGAGCTATCCTCGATAGAGGTTTATTTGTCCTGGTTTTCATGCAATTGAAAAAACTGAGGCTCAGAAACAGTAACCTGTACAAGACCAAAGAACCAGTACACAGCAGAGATGGGCTCCAAACCCCAGTACATCTGACGCCAAAGCCTTCTTCCTACCACACCATGCCACCTCCCTCTACCACTGCATCTCACTGAATGATGTGCCTGCAACCCTGGCTCCCTGCCCTGACTCTGAGGTTAATTTCTCTGCATCTTAGAGCCCCACTGGAGGAATCCCCAAAGTCTCCAGTGACCTACAACAGGAGCACATGGGGGCTCCCAGGCCTGTTAACAGCACCAGCTTCCTCTCCAAGGTTGAGAGAGCTTTATCCGCCAAGTGCCACGTGGGGAACAAGTGGCCAAGGGGAGAAGAGAGGGTCATATGGGGTCATCATCACTAAATAAGAAGAGAGGCCACACAGGAACTTGGCCCAATTTGGTGTCCTCAAAAGATTGTGCTCCCTTGGCTACGATTTTCCCTAACAAATATGGAAAAACAGTCTGGGGCCCATGTGGGGAAATTAAAACTTGGTTCCTGCAGCTATTTGCTTGTGCAGCTATGTGACAAGCCTGGTAAAAGAGGCTGGGTTTCTATTTCAGTTCTCTCCACCTGGACTCTGGGAGACCTGCTCTCAAAGGTGAAAGGAATTGGAAAATGAACTTACTAAGATCTAGGCAATGATTTCAGAAAATAACCATCAAACCAAGGTGAGCAGGCAATGGGAGGGGAGATGCCATGAGGCAGAACGAGGGGCAAGGAGATGCCCAGGAGCTGAAGCCCGGAAACCTGCTCCCTGTTTCCCCCTGGCTCTTGCTCACTGCATGCCTGCTTCCCCACTCCCACTGCAAGGTGACAGCAACAGTGACAGCATAGCTCACTTTCCAGCGTGCAGACAGCCCCTTGTCAACTGCACTGTCCCTGGAATCAGTGGAGCTGCATTTGTCGTCCCTGGCTCTGTCAGACAGTAGCTGTGACTTGGGGAAAAATCACTGAATCTTGCTGAGCCTCAGTCTTCTCATCTTCGAATGGGGAGAATAATACGTATGTTGCTGGGCTGCTCTAAAGATGGAAGGAGACGGCATTAAGCAAAAGTTCAGGGCCTTTGCTCTTATTGTTCCCTCTGCCATCTCTGTGTGGCTTCCTCTTGCACTTCCTGCAATTCTGTGCGCAAGGCCACCTTAACAGAGAGGCCCTTTCTAGCCACCTATCTGAAAACACAATTCCTGTCACTCTCTGACTCCCTTCTCAGCTCGATTGTTTTGGTCACAGCTTCATTGTCACCTATATTTATTTGTTTGTCTATAATGTCACTCACACTAACACACACACACACACGTACACAAAAGGAAGTTCCAAAAAGAGTCACTGCATGTAGTCTACATGCAATAAATATGTTGATAGAATAAAAGAATGGATGCATGCTCCTGGCATTATGCGGACCCAGAGTACTTAGTTTCCATTCCACTTCCATCTCCCTGTTTTCAAGGAAATGGAAAGAAAAGGAAGCCCACCAGTACTTACAGAAGAGCCATCCAATTTGGGTGTTGTCCACATAATCCTCCTGCCAATCAGCTACAAGACCGACGACGATGCCGATGCCGGCAGGAAGGATGCCTTGGGTATCTGAAGCAGCCGACTCTCACTGGCCTTGGGTGGGAGACCAGTTGAATTGATTTTTACATATAATTTCTTTTTCTTAGCTACTGAATTTAATATTAAATTCCCTGGGAAGCTGTACTCTATCAGCTATTTTCAAACTCTGCTCCACCAAGCCCTAGATTTGCTCAGATACCAGGTAGCTGGGAAGAGGAGCAAAGGAGCCTGGCGTGTGGGGCTAGTATGTGACAGAGTCCAGATGAGAATGCAGCCCAGTCTGACCCAGAGCCCACCATCTATATACCACACCACCTACCCAGGGGGGTGGCATTCCTACCTCCAAATCTGTTCCGTGAACCAGAGTGCTTCTCCCATTATTCCAGAGGCTTTAATCCTGAGCAGGTCTGATCTGTCCCCCGATGCTGTTGTTTCCATCACTAGAATCACATTCATTCCAGTGATGGAAACAAATGGGAAACTGAGGTATAGGAAAAGAGAGAGGATGCCTCTCCAATCCTATATGCAACAGAGACCCCAGACCTCAAAGCAAACCAGAGAGCCCACCAGAGCAGAAAGAACCCAAGGTGGAAGCTAAACTTGCTGAGCTTCTAACGCCTAGACAGGAATAATACCTGTTTCTTGGGGTATTCTGTGAGTCAATGAGGTAGTGAATGTGAAGGTTCTTTGACACTTTCAGGGCACACTCTGGGAAGACCTTCTTACTCCCTTGCTTCTGTTGTGGATGGACTATGTGATCACTGCAGAATTTCATTAAAGGGAAAGCCTGGGGAATGGCCCCTTAGTGGGGCTCTGGGAATGGTCACGAAGCCTCACTGGAATGACAAGGAAATTGATTTCATTTAGATGGCAAGTTTACCTGAGGTGCCTTGAGGGGACAGACAGAGATGAAGAAGAACAAAAGCCCCCAGATGTCTCTTGGCACCCCTACTCTATGTGAAATTAAGCAAATCAGTTGAAATCTGTGTGCCTCAGTTTCCTCACTGGGTTGATAATTAAAGCCACAATGACTCTATAAAAAGAGCTTTGGAACAAAATTTTTAAAATGCAATCACACACTGGGAAAACTCCAAAGAAAATATTGGGCTATACCAAAGTCAGGGGTCATTCCTCAAGACTCGGTATCTGTTTGATCAATAACACTCTTTCGCCCACCACCCCTTGCAAGCCCATTCGGACATGTGCTTGTCAGTTTCCCACACTGGTGTGCACCAGAAGCTGAATAGCCTGAATCCAGGTGATCGAGGATCTCCCGAGGAGCCACTTACCTGCCCCGCTCAACAGCTTCTCTAGTCTCCTAGTGTCTTCTCTGGGTGGAACACACAGGCTAAACATGCCCGGAACCTTGGAGCTGGTGCTCAGGCCAGGTTATTGGTCCCATTATGGAATAAAGATCTCAAATTCAGAGGTCACAGCTTCTATTAACCAAAAGGAGAGGGCAGAGATCCGCCACTGGCTGAACTGGAAAGGGAAGAAACAGGGGTTGTCGCTGGCTATACAATGACTCATACTCCACGTATGTGCCTATAGCCCCCCAGCAGTGACCCATGGGATCAGGTCTCCATGGGGGTTTGAAGCTCTCAGACAACAAAGGAAAGAAAATAATAAATTATGGAAAACTCTGCCCCAGAGGGTATGCATAAGCTATGTGGGAGTCCCAGGTTTGTAGACTCGGAGGATGAATGCATCAGAGTGGAGGATGAGGAGCCAACCAGGGCCGGTTCCCTGCCAGCTAGACTTTTTGCCAAGGTCTCTGACTCTAAAGTACTCTAGGGTATGGTGACATGAAATCTCTAGAGTTCCAGATTTATCATGAATGCAATGAGGCCTTCCTCTACTAGAGTGGGTCAGATACCCCCACCACCTACCTGTCCCTTGTCCCCACTCCTGGAAAACGATCTACAATGATAACAACAGACATTACTGAGTAGCCACTCTGGGCCAGGCTCTGTGCAACGTAGGTGTGAAGTAGCCAGCCTCAACGATTAAGGGGCTCACGATCCTATAGAAGCTGTGCTAAGAGTCATTTTTTCACGAATGTAACTACGCCAAATTGCCTTCCTTCCAAAGAACCTACTCCAGAGCATTTGATGATTATCTACAGGCTGGGCAATTTTTTCCCAAAAGGGGGAGACAGCATTATTTCACCATAAAGCAAAAGGAACATCAAGGATGTTGAGTATCCACTCGATGGCAATGCAAACAACTTGTGCTTTAACATATCCTAAACACACAGGATCATTTTCCTTGAATTTATATGACTTGGGTCCAGCCTTCATGTTTCAAGAGCAAATATCTTGTCTTCCCAACTAAATAATAAAGCTCTTTCACGACAAGGCCATGTCTTCTATTTTGCTACATTCCCCAAATGCAGTGCCTAGTACAGAGTTGCTCAGTGATTTGCATTTAAATCCTTTGTAAACCTCTTCATGGATGTGCTATCTTGGGCAAGTCAATTCTTCTGAACTAGTTTTCTCATCTCTAAAATTAGGAAAATAGGCCGGGCACAGTGGCTCACGCCTGTAATCCTAGCACTCTGGGAGGCCAAAGAGGGCGGATTCCTCAAGGTCAGGAGTTCGAAACCAGCCTGAGCAAGAGCGAGACCCCATCTCTACTAAAAATAGAAAGAAATTAACTGGCCAACTAATATAGAGAGAGAGAAAAAAATTAGCCGGGCATGGTGGCGCCTGCCTGTAGCCCCAGCTACTTGGGAGGCTGAGGCAGGAGGATCGCTCGAGCCCAGGAGTTTGAGGTTGCTGTGAGCTAGGCTGAAGCCACGGCACTAGCCTGAGCAACAAAGCAAGACTCTGTCTCAAAAATAAATAAATAAATAAAATAAAATTAGGAGAATAATACTACCTGACACGGATGTGGTTAGAAATAAGGTAACAAAGGAGAAGGGTTTGCCCACCTAACAGTAGACACATTGTTACACTGCGAAACTTTGGGCTGTGCCAGGCAGGAAGGATGTCAAGCAGTGTCCTATCTACATTCTCATTCAATTGGAAATGACAGCGACTCTTACTCTGCAAAGCAAAACCCCTCTTCTACACTCACAGATGAGGCTGGTGAAAAGCAACAAGGAAGAACATCATGCCACCTGGCCAAGGGCCTTCAGCCACCAGGGGCCAAGGAAACAGGGGCAAGCTCCAAACCTCTGCCCCCAGAGCCAGCCCCTGCCTCCCACCTTCCTGTCTTTCTCCTTCTCTCCTTTCACCCTCTGGAACACTTTCTTTTTCTCTGCCTTCACAGTGGAAACCAGTTTGGCTTCATCCGCTTCTTAAGTTTTGCTACTCTATCTGTTGTCCCAGTTTCGCATCACAAAAGTTCAGAAATTGAGCAATTTCAGGCAGAATTCTCCTCTGTGTGCGAAGGGTAATAAAAGAGGCTTTGAATGATCGTATTCCTATTATTTTCCCCTTGCCCGAGGAATCAAATATCCCAACCTAGAAACCAGGACACGTCGGAGGAGGGGCCACAGAACCAGCACCGACAAAGGAAGAACACAGAGTCCCCCGTTCCTCTGAGGAGGGACCTGAAATCCCTGGTTGCACGTGTGGTTTTTATGTTATGATGAGGAGGAATACAAAATTGTATAGCGTTCTCACTCCACAGTAGAGTCTCAATCTTCTCAAAATGGCTATTTTTCGGCTTTAACAACATTCAGAAACAGGATTCGCCTGGTATTTTTGCAGGTATTCTTTTTCATTGTGTTTTTATCATTAAATAATTCAAATTTATACACAAGAAGGAGCATAATATAATATTTACCACTACCTAGCTTTGTCAATTATTAACTCTCGGCAATATTTATTTCACATCCTTTTTCGTAAAAATCTGAGTGATAGATTGAGAGACAGACATACAGATAGACACGTGGATAGATAGATAAATGATTGATAAAAATGCAGGCACGGTTGAGGCCCTCTGTTCATCTATTTTTAATTCTATCACACTCACTTCGTCCTCAGAATTAATATCATAAATTCAGTATTTATCATGCTCACACACGATTCATAGTATTTGTTATCCATGAACACTATTTTATTTGGTGTTTTATATCTTTCAAATGTATATACATGGCATCGAACTGTCACTTTGCAGTTTGCTTTTTTCTTAGAACATTGTTTTTAACATTTTTATGTTGCTATCTGCAGCTCTGCTTCATTCATTTTAATTTTTATAAATATTCTGTTGTATTAAAAAAAAAACTCCATATTCATTCTCTTGCTAGTAGGCATTTAAGTTGTTTCTGATTTTTTGCTATTCCTAAGAATGAACATTCTCATACACATCTCACCGTGCACATTTGCAAACGGCTATCTGGGGGAGTGGTTCTCAAAATGTGGTCCCCACTGGACGCAGCATCGCCTGGAAACGTGTTAGAAATGCAAATCCTCGGCTCCTTCCACAGACCTTCTGAACCTGAAGCTCTGGAAATGGGGTCTGGCAATCTGTGCTTTAACAAGCCCTCCAGGCAATTCTGAGTCAGGCTAAAGTTTGAGAACTGCTGTTCTAGCGTGTATACCTAAATGTGTGCCTCCCACGTCATTAAATGATGCTGAATGGCTCTCAAAAGGGCTTGCCCCAACTGATATTATACATGTATTCCCAGCAGCGGTGTTTGGGAGTTAGCACAGTTCTCATACAAAACCAGCACTATGCAATGCTGGCCTCTTGCGGCTCTGGCCAGCTGCGGGTTAGGCACTTGGTCAGGTGCTTACTGGCCATGTGGATTTCCTCTCCTGTGAAAGGCATTCCTTCGTTTTTCCATCGGGTAGTTTTTAATCATCTTTTTTGATGATTTATAGAAATTCTTTGTCCTTTCTTTTTTTTTTTTTTTTTTTTTTTTGAGACAGAGTCTCGCTTTGTTGTCCAGGCTAGAGTGAGTCCCGTGGCATTAGCCTAGCTCACAGCAACCTCAATCTCCTGAGCTCAAGCGATCCTACTGCCTCAGCCTCCCGAGAAGCTGGGACTACAGGCATGTGCCACCATGCCCGGCTAATTTTTTCTATATATATATTAGTTGACCAATCAATTTCTTTCTATTTTCTAGTAAAGACGGGGTCTCACTCTTGCTCAGGCTGGTTTCGAACTCCTGAACTCGAGCAATCCGCCCGCCTCGGCCTCCCAGAGTGCTAGGATTACAGGCGTGAGCCACCATCTTTGTCCTTTCTAAACGCTCGTATTTGTTGTATTGTCACCATGTTCACAGTCTTTTAACTTTGTTTAGGAGCTTTGTTTTGTTTTATTTTTTTTCATGTTACCACCTTTAAGTTTTATGTAGCGAAACTTTCCCTGTATGATTTGTGCTTTTATACCTGGACTAAAATGTAGTCTAAACATGTTTAGGTTTTGATTTTTACAGTTGGATCTTTAATGCAACTGGACCTGATGTTTATGTACTCTGTGGAGATTTAATTTTAATTTTTTTCTGTATCGATAACATCTTTCCCCATCAGTTTGTAATGCCAAATCTCCCAGGGGGAGATATTCAAAATATTTAACAACATCATGGGTGCCAACTAAGCTTTTGTTCTTAATATTACTTATCTATACATCTTCTAGTTATTTCTTGACAAATCTCACTATAGGTTTGCCTATTTCATTATCCTCCTTTTTTTCTTTTTTCAAAGAACAAGCTTTTGGTTTTGTGTCCTCTCTAATTTTCCATTTCATTAATTTCTGCTCTTATATTTATTATTTCCCTCCTTCCACCTTCGTAGATTACTTTATTGTTCTTTTTTAGCTATGCTTTTAATTTAATACAACTCATTTTATTTTCATTTTTCTTGCTTATAATAAATGCAATTAAGCTATATATTTACCTGTAGACACCATTTTAACTAGATCCGTCAAATGTTTGTTTATAGTACACTTATTTTTGTTCAGTTGTAAATATTTTATTAATATGGTATTTTTTTCTTTAACTCATGACTTATTCAGAGTTTCATTCTTAAGTTTTTGATAAGTAGAAAGAGGTAAAGAGAGGGGGTGTTAAATTGCTTTTTATCATTTAAATTATTTCTAATTTAATTGTGTGGTAAGATATTGTGGTCAGTGTGATATCAATTCTTTGAAAGTTGTTGAAATATCCTTTTTGACTTCATGTTCAAGTTTTACAAAGGTTCTGGCTATACTTGAAAAATATATATACACCTATTGGGTGCAACATTTTTAGGCATGTATAAACACAGGTCACACTTGCTAATTTTTTATTATTCAGAGCTGCTATATTTGTTCTAATTTTTGTCTGCTTCATTTATGAGTTATGTTCATCTCCTACTATGGTCTTGTTACCTTCTCCTTATATTTCTGTCAATGTTTCCTTTATTATAATGTTATGATACATGATAATTACATTAGGAGCATGTAATTTTGTTATTATCTTTTGAGGTGTGGTTACATTTATTATTTTTTGGTTTCTCTCTTTATCCATAAAATATTTTTTGCTTTGAGAACTATTTTGTCTTATGTTAATTCTGCTGCATTAACTTTATGGTTAATATTTGTGTTACATATCATTTTCCATTCTTTTATATGCAGCCTGTGTACATGTATGTGCGTGTGTGTGTGTGTGTGTGTGTGTGTGTGTGTGTGTGTTCATGTGTCTGGTAGGGGGAGCACAGAGGTGCATTTTGTTTTTTCTCCATCTGATTGCTTCTGCCTTTTAGTATAAATAGATAAATTTGATCCATTTACATTTTTGTAATTTATTAGAAGTTTATTAGATTTAGCCATATTATCATATTTTGTGTTTTCTGCTTACCATCCTTTGCTTTTCTTCTTTTCTACTTTCTTTTGTTTGATAATGTGTATGTGTTCTTTTCCTATTTGGAAACTGTAACTTTTATTTCTATTATTTTAATAGCTATCCTGAATTTTTTTAACCTGCATACTTAACTATAAAGTTTTCTGACAATGTTTGCTGTTATTTAATCTTTTCCAACTGCAATAAGATCCTTAGTGTGCTTTGAATACCCCCCACCTTGAACAGCTTCTCCACCTTATTATTGTTTCATTTTTAAAAGGTTATAATTTTTAAACTCTAGCCATTAATTAAAACTTTAAATGCCTTTTATCAACCCCTGTGCTCACTACAACAACTCACTTGTTTTGGAGGTAAAAGAGGAGAGCTGTTTAGAGGACACTTGCTTCTTGTTTTACACATCTTTTCTCTGTTTTCAATATCCTATCTCTGAAACAAATTTTAATAGTCTTATAGCGAGGATCTGTGTATAGTAAAATCTTGTAGTATTTCTTTGCCCAAAGATATTTTTATTTAACCCTCCTTCATGAATAATAGTTCAGCTGAGAGCAAAATTATAGATTGACAGTTTTGCAATTGTGACTATTTTTTTGAGTTTTACACTTTATTGATAGATTGGTTAAATATAGAATTCTAGATTAGAAATTCTTTCCCTTTAGGATTTATAGGGGATTGGTCCATTGTCTTCTGTGTTCTTTTTTTTTTTTTTTTTTTTTCGCCCAGGCTAGAGTGAGTGCCCTGGCGGCAGCCTAGCTCACAGCAACCTCAAACTCCTGGGCTCAAGCAATCCTTCTGCCTCAGCTTCCCAAGTAGCTGGGACTACAGGCATGTGCCACCATGCCTGGCTAATTTTTTTCTATATATATTAGTTGGCCAATTAATTTCTTTCTATTTATAGTAGAGACAGGTCTCGCTCTTGCTCAGGCTGGTTTTGAACTCCTGATCGCAAGCAATCCGCCCACCTCGGCCTCCCAGAGTGCTAGGATTACAGGCTTGAGCCACCTCGCCCGGCTGCCTTTTGTGTTCTTGTTGAGATACTGAAGCCACTATGATTCCTGAGCCTTTGGATATGTGGGGGTTTTTTCTCTCTCTGAAGGCTGTTGTCATCTTCTTTTTGTCCTCAGGTTCTGAAATTTCACAAGGTTATGCCTTGGTGCGGCTCTATTATTAACCATTTTACTGGGCATTTGGTGAACTCTTGCAATATCCAAATCTATGTCCTTTAACCTGGAAACATTTTTGAATTATTTTATTAATTTCTTTTCATTCATTTTTTTCTGTTATTTTCCTCTAGAATTCATGTTATTCGTAATGTTAAACTTTCTGGGTGGATCCTCCCATTTTCTTATTTTTCTCTTTTATTTTCCTCTCTATGTATTTTTGTTCTAATTTTTAGGCAAATTCCTCGACTTCGCCTTCCAAAACTTTCATTGAATTTTTTCATTTCTGCTATTATGTTTTTAATTTCCAAATGTTCTTTTTTAAAAAAAAATTCTCTGGGCCAGGCGCAGTGGCTCATGCCTGTAATCCTAGCACTCTGGGAGGCCAAGGCAGGTGGATCACTCAAGGTCAGGAGTTCAAAACCAGCCTGAGCAAGTGCAAGACCCCGTCTCTACTAAAAATAGAAAGAAATTAATTGACCAACTAAAAATATATAGAAAAAAAATAGCCGGGCATGGCGGCGCATGCCTGTAGTCCCAGCTACTTGGAAGGCTGAGGCAGTAGGATCGCTTGAGCCCAGGAGTTTGAGGTTGCTGTGAGCTAGGCTGATGCCATGTCACTCACTCTAGCCTGGGCAACAAAGTAAGACTCTGTCTCAAAAAAACAAACAAATAAATCCTTTAAAGAAAAAAAAAAAAGAAAGAAAAAAGAATTCTCTGAATATTTAAATTTTCTGTCTCCTTCATAAATGTGACATTTTTTATCTAACAACATTAAATGTTTGGAAGTTTATTTGTTTAAGTTTTCTTCCCCTATTCACCTGTATAGGTCCTTGCTTCTTCCAAGTTGCTTTTTTCTGTCTGTTCATTTCATTTTCTGTGTTTCACATTGGAGGCTTTCCTAGATTATTTCCTCAGAATCAACAGTGAAGGTGATGATTAATAAAAAGCAGTTTGGCAGTTTTGACCAGAAGGGTGTGACTTGTCAACTGTGGGCTTTTCTGTAGGGTGATCTGAGCAAGCCATGTCTTAGGGAACCCCAAAGTCTATGTCTGTAGGACTTTCCTCTTGCACATGGTGATCATTTCCCCATAGAAGAGTCTTTCAAACTCCTGCTAGAGGGTAGAACTCTGGCCAGCAGCATTCTGAGAGCCAAGAGGAAAGGGGGCTGGGCTTCTGAGCATTCGGTATTCCTTGTGTGTATGGCCACTTACTACCCCTGCTTTATTTTTTTTAAGTGAATATACAATTTATTTAACATTCAAACGTCATTAAGACATGTGCAATATGGCAATTTTACTGGGGATTTAACCCTACCTAGGATATGATTGCTTGCTGGGGCTTAGCAACAGGGTCCAGTTCACACTTAGCACTAATTAAATACTTTATTGAATAAATACAATACCAAACAAAATGCATTCAAATGCTTTCTAAAAATAATCAATCTTAAAGACCTTTCTATTTAGGCGAATGACAAACACAATACAGGCAGATATGCTAATTTAACATAATTGGCCGATTTTATGCAGCACTTATATCTTTTAGTCCACAAGTATATTATTAAATGATAGAGAACATCTAATACAACCATTTCTACAGAACTAGGAAATAAATTTCTAAGAAAGAAAGATTTAACAGACCCCATCTTTTATACCCACCCCAACAGTCTAAACTCTAAAGAGGATAAAGACAATGACTTTCCTCACAAGAGCTCATGACTAATGTCGCTTTGCTATCAAAATCTGTATTTCTGATCCATTATGAGCATTGAGACAAGATTCAAATATTCCCAAAGAAACACAAGGCACGTTGTGATTGCCTATTCAGCAACAGCAAGCACTGCATTCAAAACTAAGTCATCCCAGGAATTAAATAAGGTCAGCTACATTCATGGGCATTTCCTCCACAGTAGTATTGTAAAAAGTCTTAATGCCATGAAGAATCTTCTTGTCTTCTTCAGTAATAAAGTTTATAGCCACACCTTTCCTCCCAAATCGACCCCCTCTGCCAATTCTCTGAATGTAGTTTTCACGATTGGTAGGTAGGTCATAGTTTATAACCAAAGACACTTGTTGCACATCAATCCCACGAGCCAACAAGTCAGTAGTGATCAGAACACGGCTTGACCCTGATCGGAATTCCCTCATGATAACATCTCTCTCCTTCTGGTCCATGTCACCATGCAGAGCAGACACTGTGAAGTCTCTGGCGTGAATTTTCTCAGTAAGCCAATCCACCTTGCGCCTTGTATTGATAAATATAACAGCCTGTGTAATGGTCAGTGTCTCATACAAGCCACAAAGTGAATCCAACTTCCATTCCTCTCTTTCAACATTAATATAAAACTGATTCCTTCAAGAGTCAATTCTTCCTTTTTCACCAGAATTCGAATTGTATCTCTCATGAATTTTTTGGTCACTTCCAACACATCAGTTGGCATTGTGGCAGAGAGCAACACAACCTGAATACTTGTATTTAATTTTTGGAAAATCTCATAGATTTGATCCTTAAACCCTCGGCTCAACATTTCATCTGCTTCATCCAAAACAAACATTTTGATCCATTTTGGAGAAAGGTATCTTCTGTTTAACATATCAAACACTCTCCCTGCTGTACCAACTACAATATGTGGTGCTTCAGCCTGAAGTTTTTACATTTCATTTCGAACATTCGTTCCACCAATGCAAGCATGACAAGTTGCTCCCATATAGTCTCCAAGTGCCAGAATTACCTTTTGGATCTTTAATACAAGCAATAATAGCTCTCTGCTGAATAGCTGAAGGCTTCTCAAAACCATAAGCCTAGATGCCCCGAAGAAGAGACTCTTTTAAATTCATATCATCAAAGTTATCAACAATCTCATTCCAGTTGCTCTCGATGACACCATTGGGGTCCATTCCCTCTGGGCCACCATGTTCTCTGTTATAATCTGCAGAGCCACCAGACATGATCCGAAAAACCACTCAGCCCCGACTGAAAAAAAAGCACTACCCCTGCTTTAATATGGCAACCGCACCCTTGACCTTGCCTGATGCACTCCAGTCTATACACACTCTGTTTCATTGTTTCCAGGAATAAACCTTCAAAATATTCCTGGGATAAGGGAGAGGATGGTTGTCTAGCACTGTGGATGGGAGACAAGATCTACAAATATAATTGCTTCTCTAAGAACCTTCACTCAATCCTCTTTGTTTCAGCCTCTACTTTTACCGCAAGTCTACAGGTTTCTAGAATTGCTAGTTCCTAAGACTTAGAAGATTCTCAGCATGAATTGTATTTTTCTCAGATTTCTAAGACCATAATAGCTAAGGTCTTGCTGTCCTGGGTCTGCTAATCAGTTACCCCTCTTTCATCTACTCTCCAGATTCTGAAATACTGCTCTCATTGTTTCTTTACCTATTCTCCCCATTCTTGATGGTTTATTTTTTTTTCTTTAATCTCTTTTCTGTAGTTGTACTGTGCTTTTGAAAGATAGTGAAATTAGGTATATGTAGCCAGACAGCCACCCTACCTCAAAGCTCCATGTTCCCTATTTCAATGACTTTTTTTATGTTCAAATTTTCTAGTTGGTCTTTTTTCATATTTCCCCAATCTTGTTTTCAGCCTCTTTTTTTTTTCATAGGTTTTTATTATCTCCCAATGGAAGTTTTGTTTTCATTTGTTTCTTTGAAGTGACCAACACATTTGCTTTAGAGTCTTGTCTGATCATTCCATAAAATTAATTCCACCTGAAGTGAAGCCATGTTCTGATTGTGGGTTTATTGACTGTTTTACTTAGCTTTTATTCATCAGTTTTGTGTTTAGAGTATAGTCTCATTTGGAACTTGAGATGTCTGGGTGTTCTTGTTTTGTTTTTCAATTCTCTTTCTCACTTCCATGTTCAATTGTCCTGTTGAAAGGCTTTATGGATCCCCAATCCAGATCAAGTTCTGGTAATGACAGTTAGAGGGACAGTCCTGCAGAGCCACTGGGCTGTGGCCAGTCCAGGCTGAGTCTAGGGGGACATAAGTCTGTGTCTCATCCTCCTCTCCCAGCCTGGAGCCAGATGTGAGCTTTGCTCCTTCACCATTTGGCAGCAGGTTGGCTCCTAGCCTGCTTCCATGAAGGCAGTGGATGAGACATGAATGCCTCCCCAGCCCTGGGCTTCCTTGGTGAGAGCCTGCCTCTACTTTCCCATCTCTCGGGGAATACTCTTGGCTCATCTACCACCACTGGCTGCAACTGCGTCCAAAACCCACCAAGGCTGGCGGCCCTTTCAGCCCTGATCACAGTTTGTGTTTCTGTGCAAGCTTGGATCTTCGAAAATGTTTGTCTTTCAGCTGGGCCTGACTATACCTTCTTCTGTTTTCTCTCTTCATTTTATCCAGTACTTCTATGTTTCTGGCACGGTGGAGGTTCTTAAATTTACCACTCCACCTTGACCCAGGTGTCAGTAGGTATTCTTCAAGTTAGATAGTTGAATTGTGTAAACCTCAACTGTGGTCATAATTCTGATGCCCAAAGTGGCCAGACCAGGTCAGCAGTGGTATGAATGACACCTTATTCAGGCTTAATCTTCTCTCTGTCCGTTGCACATTATTACTGAAGCTCCAGGCATACCAGAGGCAGTCAAGACTATAAATATCACCCAAATCTGATTCTGAATATTTAGAATTTGAAGAGTAATAGAGTAGAATTGAGTGGAATTGAAATACAGATTTGGAGTTAACTCATTTTAGAAAAGTCCATTCCTGAGACATGCAACTGTGGAACTTCACAGGGTTGTGGTAAGGGTTAAGTGAGTGGTGTGTGTAGGGCGCTTGCTACACTGTCTAGCACGTGTGAAGCCTATTAGCATATACTTGGAACAAATACACTGCAAAGGGGCCAGAGGGGTCAGTGGGTATAGAGGTCTTTAGAGGATCAACAGGAAGGGAGGAACAAAAGGGAACAGGAAATGACTCTCTAGTCAAAGGGGGTGGGGGAGGTTAAAAACAGAGAAAGATGATTATCACCAATGCAATAAAGTTTCCCTCTCTTCCAGCAACCTTCACCCTGTACACAATAAGCAAAGAATCATCAACGTAAACCTACAGGCTGTGTAAAGCCAGAGAAGCCACATGGAAGACAAGGCAGCATCTAGACTCCATGGAATGTATCAGAACCTTCTCTGAGGGCTGGCATTCATCTGTGCTGTTCATAGCTTTGCGCTGAGTGCTTAGTTAGCATTTAATGATTGTTGAATGAATGGATGGATAAATTAAAGGAGCTGCTGTAGGCAGATCCCAATGCAAGCACCTGTGAGAATGAATTTGTATTGTAGATACAGAGAGGTGGCCAATCAGGAGAGGGAATATCCTCTCAGCCTCCAGGATTCAGTGCAACTTGAGTGCAAAATGGGGAGACCCAAACCACATAAAGGTGTGTCCAACATCGACCGTGGGTGGGACTAGATTAGGAGCATTCAAGGACATATCTTTCCAGCAGGGAAATGGTACAGTCTGAATTATAAGGTATCCCACTGCACAGAGGTTCACACATGAGTAAAGCATCCTTCATTAAATGTTTGGGTGTGCATATGTGTGTGTGAGCGATATAATATTCTCTGTCAATTAAACACGTTAAGCCAGTTGTATGGTAAGAGTGTTTGACCTGCTTCCAGATATTTCTAGGAAGTACTAGGAAAGGAGAATATAACAACTAGGAACACCCCTTAAGACCAATTGTGGGGGGATTCAGAAATAAATTTCCCACATTACAGGACTATGTGTGAAATCTCCATGTACTCAAGGATGTAGCTGGTTTCTCGATTCTGAGGTTCTTCAGAAGCAAGTGGCTGAGATGATAAATTCTGCTTAGTGTGCATATGCCACTGAGGATGTCACTTTCCCCACTCTGGTCCTCACATTCCTTGTATCTACAAATGAGACCATGTCTATTGCAAATAACAGAAAACTTTGCTCAAGCTCGCTCAAGCAAGAAATCCCGTTTACGGGCTAGTAGGACTGAGTTATAAGGAAGTAAGTGAGACTCCTAGGGTCAATGCTGTCCACGTCTGCCCATTATGTCCACCTCTCAACAAGCCCTCTCCACTCGGTGGCAGTGTGCCTGCCAGCCACTCTGGACTCACACCCTCATTTGTACACACCCTGCGGAAGAGAGAGCACACCTCTCCCACAGTCCTGGTGCGAGTCCCGAGATGGCATCTCACAGCTCCCAAGGGTCAGGTGCCCCACCCTGAGTCAGCCACTGTGGCTGGAGGGATGGGATGGTCTTGTCCCCCTCGTCTGTCACACATCCATCCCTGCAGCCAGCGAGGTTAGCTGGAAGAATCCGAAGTCAGACCAGGTGGCCTCATATTCGAGGATTCCCTGCTTTGTGTCACTTTACTATCATCCTCCTCTCCTTCCTCCTGCCTAGACATTCCTCCTGCACAGGTACTAAAAGCTTCCAATCACCCCAGTCCTGAGACAGAAATGTGCCACAAGAAAGGAGGAAACACAGCACCCCAGACACATGCCCACAAGGAGACACGATTCCTTTAATGTGAGCTAGAGAAGAATGCTGACAACCTCCCTGCCCCACACTCCCCACCCCGCCACCCTGAGATCCTCACATTTCCATTGTCTCTGCCTCACTCCTGCAGTTATTTCACCATGGGGTGGGTAGGCGAGGCAGGAGCACGTTCTTCCTACCTGTTCCCTGCCCTTGCTTGAGAGAAGCCTGCAGAGTTGAATGGGGGCATTCAGTGGGGGGTTGAGGATTAGAAAGCTTGCTGTTGCCCGTAGGACCTCTCCTTCTGCTTCCTCTTCTACCACTTGTCCCTGACACCAGGCAGATAGATTTCTCTGCTTTTAAGGACTCTAGTGATTAGATTTGGCCCACCCATATAATCCAGGATAATCTCTATATCTTGAGTTTCAGAATCCTAACTACATCTGCAAAATACTTCTGCCATGTAATGTAACAGATTCACCGGATCCAAGGATGAGGGTGTGGGCATGTTGGAGAGCTATTATTCAGCCCGACACAATGCCCAAACAGGCAAGATCCTAAAGCAAGGTAGATGACCCAGCAAGTGGAGTGCAAACAGCCCCTCCAGTACAATTCCCCCATTGCCTCCCTAACAGCCTTTTAAGAATTCCCTCCCCACAGAAACTGAGAGGCATTGCAGGGATTCTGATCATGACCCAAAAGGGACCCTCTTAGAAAACTGGGATTCAGGACCTACCAGGACGTCTAGCGTAAGCCACTGCCAGGGAGTCAGGCTTCTCAGGCCTCCGGTACCAGCGGCCTTCGCTTATGGGCAGGTGATTCAGAGATGGGTCCAGCCCAGAAAAGCAAACACCTGTGTGGCTCAGTACTCTGAAATAGGAGCAGAAAGAAGAGTGGATCCTTGTCCTAATCCTCAAAACAATCCTGCAGGGTGAGAACTGTTATGTGCACCTTCAAATAAAGACACTAAGATACGGAAAGGTTAAGTGACTTGCCCAGAATCATAAATGGCACCACCAGGTCTGACCCCAAACCCACTGTCTTTCCACTGCTGCTAACACTCGACACTTGCATATTTTCTGTCATTCCCCTGAACGATACAAAATAGGCCAGGAATTTGCTTTGGTTTTAGAATTAGAGGAGTCCGAGGTGGCCCTTACACAGGTTCAGATGTCAAGAAGGCCCTGTAGTTCAGGAAAACAAGAACATGAGCTGCTCCTCTTGGAGGGCTGCAGAAAGCTGAGAGAGGAGGCTTGGACTGGTGGTGGCAGCATAGCGTAAAAGAGTTTGGGGCAATGACCCAGAAGGACAGGGTGACAGATGCGGTGGGATTCACCAATCTAAACATTTGGAAAGGTCAAAATAGGCTATGAACTGTCCAGTGAAGTCACAGCAGGCCCATTTCACACTGTTTGGGACTGAAGAACCAAGGGAGAATATGTCACAGCTTCAACCTGTTTTCTCACTTGAAAAGGTCAGATAATACCTGTCCTAGTGAGC